TCGCGCTCAGCAGCCGTCTGATGATCTTGGGGAAGGGGATGCGCTCCTCTCCCTGCCGGAGCCCATGCTTCGACAAGTTGAGGTAGCCCAGCAGATGCTCGAACCGCCAGCCGGACGGCCCTGGTGCTGCGCCTTTTGCTGCTGAGCGGAGTGCCTTCGCGAGCATCTTGGGTGGGACGTCAAGTGCCTCGGGCTCCACGTTGACGTCCGGCTTGGTGACGGGCGTGTTGCGTGAGGGGTGGAGGGCTTGCAGCTTGGCGTATGTCTCCTCCGTGGCTGGGGCGACTGGGGTGGAGTCCAGCTTCTTGGCCGCTCGTGTGAATTCCCCAAGCTCCACTAGCCGCTTGGCTGTCATGAACGCCCTCTGCGTTGCCGTGTCGTGGGTGGGGTGGGCGGGTGTGGGGTGGATGGCCGGTGTCGTCTCGGTGCTCTTTGGTGCGAAATCGGCTCCCTCGCATAGCAGCAGCTCCCATTCCCCCTCCCAAAACAGCCGAAATCTATTGACTCACTGGGGCCGTCGATGATGATGCAATCGTCGTCGTGGTCTGCATTGCCGTCTCCGTCTCCCTGCCCCTGCCTGCCGTCATGCACCTGTCCACTCACGCCGTCGTACCTTGATGCAAGTTGCTCGGGGGCCTCGTCTACGGCAGCTCGTGAGATGTCCGTTGCAATAGCGGCAGGACGGAGGAGAATTTCATGCTGCTGCATCGCATCCAACAACTCCAGAGTGCACTCTTCTCGACAGGAGGGGCATGTTGAGTGGCGGGTCAGCCAGCGTTCCACGCACTGGCGGTGGAAAACGTGCTGCTCGGCACAGGGCAGGGTGATGAAGTCGAGGCGCTCGCCGCGTTCTTGGCAGATTAAACATTCAAGGTCCTCGGTTGCCATTGGCTGAGACGTAACACATCCATGGAAACACCAGAAAAGAAACAGACACACCTTTCCTACTTCGGTCTGATCGCCACGACTGCCAGCAGTCTCGGTAGTATCCTGCACGTTGCCCTACAGAGAAAGAAAGTTGCAGAGCGCATGCATATTCATAGTGGCACACATCTCATCCCTCGTCCACTCAGTTGTTCACCTGCTCTTCATCGCTCAAACTCCGTCCCGTCGCGACCGTTGGGTTCTCGGGCTGTGTGGTTTCATCACGATGCCCCTGCACAGAAAGTTTCGGAGCGCATTCACAGTCTCACACATTCTCTTTCTCATACTGACATGGCGGCGAAAATACAGCTCCGGCTCCAAAAGTTCATCCACATCATCATCTTCTTCATTCTGCTGGGTTGGCTCCTCTCTCTGCTGCTGCTGGCGCTCCAGCCGAACAATGAGAGGTACAAGCTCCTCTTCGTCGTCCTCGCTGCTCTGCGAGTCGTCTTCGTTGACAAAATGATGCTGTTGTTGAGTGTCCGGCTGCTGCTGCTGTGGCGTCTCGTGCTGCTGCTGCAGTGTCTCCTGCTGCTGTGGTGTCGCCTCGCCATACACAAACTCCTCGCCATGCGCAGCTGCGTCCTCCGGCTGGTCTTGGTATGGCGTGTCGTTCCCTGGGGCTGCCTCAGAGAAGCCATCCTCATCTTCGTTGTCCATCTGCATTCTCGGGCCTGCAAGCACCACACACACACACACACACACACATCCCACAATGCCTCTATGTCTTCTCTCTATTTTCCTCTACTTCCAAGTTGGGATGCTTGAAAGCCGCCCTCGCCTACGAGCCCCATCCAATGGCCGCCAGTTGTCAATACGTCGAAACTCACGCCGCTCGTTGACGGGTTTTCGACGTGCCGAAGGGAAATCGGCACCCTGCTGCTTCTTGAATAGACAGTTGTGCCCGACGAAGCTATCTCTTGCTCGTTCGCTAAAATGTAGACCCGCCCACGCACCTCTCGCATTCGGAAAAAGGCGATCATCTCCGTCACCGTCAACGACGCCCCGGGAGTGCTCATGTACGCGAGATACTCAACAAAGGACAGCCCCGAGATGTCCAGGTGCTCGGGAGGGAGATGCGCTTGGCCGTCGGGGCTCTCGACCTCACACAGCGGCAGGAAATAGTCCGGGTTCTGCCGCATGTAATCCACAATCTCGCTCCGAAGCTGTGTCTCTCCGCCGTTGCAACTTCACTGAAGTTCTGGCACAGGGCCGCAAGACCATACTCTCCCGCTCCTGGCATGTCGATGGCACGAAACAACTCGCCGCTTTGGTAGTCGACGGCCCTGTCGCGTACAATTCTGCCGATACTGACGGCAGGCAAGCTTGGTGGTGGCACACCTCCTACAATCACACACGAGACGACGTGTCCTTTGCAAATCTATCTTTTTTGTCACTTCTGGCGCACTTGTTTTTGCTTGTGGTGCTGACTTCCACCCCGTCTTCTTCGCGGTGTGTAACGTCTTTCGTACTGTCCCTGACATGCAAAGACCAACGGTATCCACAAGTGCACCAAATCGATTCAACTTACATCTCTGTGCGTACCTGTCTTCGGTTTTGATTTCGGTGTCTCTTCATCCTGCCCGCCTCTGTCTCTGCGACGACGGCGGGTTGATCGTGACGGTGACGGTGGTGGCGGCGGAGGTGGTGGTGTTGGAGGCGGCGGGACAGACGGTGATGGTGTCGACGGCGAAGTCGAATCATTTCCACCTGCAACACACAGAATATATCGCCAGCACCCGCAGATGTACACACAAATTCGCTGTCCCGTACTTGAGTGTGGCGCCTTCGCTTTTGCTTGCGGTGCCCCAGTCTGCGATTCAGAGGACGCGGGCGCCTTTGCCGAGGGCGGAGGCGGAGGTGGAGGCGGAGGCGGTGGTGGCATCGCGTCACTGTCGGATTGCGCTGCGGAAACGAAGAGACACACAATACTAGGCGTGTATGGCCTTGTCTCATATTAGCTCTCGCCTGCTGTAGAGGACCGCGGCATAAAAGTTTCCGGCGCTGCGACCTTGACGGGCGGCGGCTCATATGTGGCTCGCGGCAGGCCAACGATAGGGTCTCCCTTACGGCGCGGCAGTCGCAGGGACGAATCGACGGGGTCAAGTCGGATAATCTTGTGCTTCTGGATGCGGGTGTCGATCCCCCCGTACTTGAATTTGTAGTGGTCGTCGCCCTTGGACAGCGTGCGCAGATCCACTCCCATCTCGTTCACGCGACGACAAAACTCACGCGCCTTCACAGATGCACGAGGCAGCAAAACAGACAAAAAACAAGTACAAAGAGACATCCCTCTGTAATCGATCAGCTCACAAATGGGTAGAGCAAATCGATGGAGACGCGGTTCTCCTGCATTGCCAGACGGAACTTCTCGTCCGCCAACACACCATACATGCGCGTGCTCACAAACACCTCTCCCTCTTCCGGCTTGTTGCGCGCCTCGTCGTACGTGTCTCCATACGTGAAGTACAGCAGCGTGACTTCTGCCACACCGGCGCGAGTTATCTGGCATGCCGGACAGCCCTGGTCCGCCTTGTTCTTGATCGCTTTGTATGGGCGCCCATCACACGCATGTCCTGTGCAGGTCGGCTCAATCTGGAGCACAAAATGTTCATCAAACAGACACACTGCAACTCGCCAGAAACCAAATCGATCATCGACATTACCTCGATTGCTTTCAGATGGATGCGTTGGTTGCAAACACTGACATTCGCGTCGCCTGGACCGTGAATGGGCGCTGGATGCACAGGGGGTTTTGCAGGACAACGGGGATAAGAGGGTATCTTGTCTCCACTACAGGTGTGCTGCGAACAGCAAATCCAATCCAATTAAAGCTGCGACAGACCTCGCGTATATGTGTATGTGCATTCTTACTCGTCTTTCATGTGTGAGAATATCTTTGGTGCACAAAGAATGCAGTCGTCGGACAGCATCAGTCGACTGTGTTCGAGTCTGGCGTAGTTCATGAGGATTTTTAAGTCCTGGCGCCCTCCGATTGCACACAGATTACCTGACCAGATGCCGTCGTGATGCTACAACCAAACAGACGCCAACCAACCAACAAACACCAAACACTGGACATCCAAGAGACCCTCCTTTCGCTTACGCCAGAAAATTCATATATGTATCCGACGCAGCGTTGCCTTTGAGGTCTTTCAGACCATACTGCTTCGTCTTCTGTAAAGGAGTCACACGCTTTGTGTGCACCCAGCAGCAGAAGAGGAATGTGTGTTTGTAGTCAAATGTTGGGTCCTCATATCTTGTGAGGCTCATTTCCTACTGCCAGCGTACTGCGCTCGACTCGTCTCCATTCGCAGACAACCCCAGCCTTGCGTAGATCCTGTTCAGCTGTACCTCTGTCGAATCGTTACTTCCAGTGATGTCCCGAAACGAATGCGCCGACTGCAGACCGGCACGCGACAACGGCCGCTGACGTGCGACTCCGCTTGCTGCTGCTGTTGCTGCTGTTGCTGGGTGCGCTGCATGTTGCCGTACAGTGTGTGCATTAGCCGATTCCACAGCCGAGCTAGGGCGGCGTCGTACCCACGTTGTTGTTCGCTTGTGTTTGAACCTAAAGACCATACACAAACGCACACACGCAAAGACACACAGCCACAAGCAATAGAAACTGACTGTGTCGCTTTCCTGACTGCCCGAACGCTTCTCCACTTGACGTTCCACTCGCGTCTCGCTGGTCATACAATTGCACTTCGCGTGCAATCACCCACGAGTACATCCGGTTGATCGGCTCAAAGCACACGGTCTCGAAAAACCCACATGTGTACCTATTCCCCACGCGGTCGAGGTGCAGCGACAGCTCCAACATCCATCGGTGAAGACGACCCACGATTTTCGACACAATTCGGAATGCCTTCAATGGAAAAACACACATCCAATGCCGCCACCACCACTCTCATTCATGTCTCGATACCGTGAGAGTCGCTTGAACGCTCGCTCTATCCGTCTGAGAGCGATGAAAGGTATTTCGAGTCGTGTACAGCCTGTTCCACCCTCCAGACTGCTGTATCTGAATACAGAGCCACAGAATGCATTCTCGCCTGCGAGACATAATGAGCACTCACCATAAACGGTGCATGCGAATTCTGCCGGATGTGCATGTGTGACAGTCGTGCGCTGTGCACACGTACTAAAGGCACGTGCAGTGCACCCATCACAATATTTCCATTCGTGCTGTGCATCAGTTTGTTCCACATTCGAGAAGTGAGCTTCAGCACCTGCAATGGCCAACATGTAAGGTCGTATACAGACTTTGTATTCAACTCACCTGCTGCACGTAAGTTTTGCAGATGTTGCCGTGCATCGCATGCATCTGACGGTTGTGCTGTCGGCGGTGACGTCGGTTGTAGCGTCTCACCGCTCGCAGCGCTCCTTGAATCCTCTCCAACTCTACATACACAACGACACGTCACTTTGTCTCTCTCTCTCTCTCTCTCTTTGTCCCACCTCGCATCTTGAGGGTGGCCTCATATCTCACTAAGCAATCCACTCTGCCCACCACATGCAGAAGGATAGACACCTGAAATTCACATACATACACACGCACGTGCGCACAGCATGGCCATGCACACACATGTCGCGCCGAGTGTGTACAGTGAATAGCTGGAGATCCTCAAACCACTCGACCCCCCAAGCCACCGCGACCGCAATCGACAGACAGAACTGACACATAAAAATAACGAGATGCCATGACGTGCGAAAGTTCTTGTCTCAACACACCTACCGTCAGAGCATCGAACGGTTTGAAATAATTCAGGACTCCCAGGAGGGCGAATTATACGATGAGTCCTCCGATGCTTTCCGTCGCTTCATAACCAAACAACGACCCCCACCCTACCATCCAAGCTCCCAAACATAGAAGCGCGACAATCCCAATCGTCCGCATCCAGAAACCACTTAGACTGGGCAGCAAGACACAATTTTCCTCAGTCTCCCATCTGTTTTCTTCTTGCAAGTGTACAGGAGCATTACTTTTCCGTTCGGCGCTTACGCTTTCTCGTCCATGGCCCGTTTTCCTTCTGGAGCGTCCATCGACGCATTCGCTTCTCGTACATGAGGCTCGAGCGCCAGCTATCGTCCGTCTCAAACTGTACGCACAATCATTCCAACACACACCAACACGCAAACACGATTACACACAAAGACACCATGTGTCTCCCCTCCTCTTTCGACGTCTTCCTCCATGTGTCTCACCATTTCGTGGTCCTCTAGGTCGCTCTGGTTGTCGGTGGGTGGGCTGGTGTTTGTTGCGTTTCGAAAGAACGCCTCGGCGCCCTCTGTGTTGTCCGCATCTGTGACGATATACGATATCGCCGATATCTGATGACCACACATATGATCGACAATTCCTGCCGCTTCGGTCACCTCCATCACCTGTCTCCGTACCAAATCGGAGTATTTGAAACATGTACCATTGTCTTCGCACACGATCGTGCACAGAAGGTCCAGACCATCTTCCTGCACACAATGTCATTTCCCTTCCTCCTCGCATCCCTTGCCTTGCTGCGTACCATATCGAAATACGCAGGAGTCGAAAAATCAAAGTCGTCCCACATGGTTGTGGTCGTGAGGGGGCTGTCGGTTGATGGAACTAAAAAGCCGCAGATGTCTCCACCCTGAAAATGCACCTGATATCGGGCCACACAGGCAAAGAGCAACACAAAACGTACGAACCGACGCAGAACTCATCTTTTCGTCTCTTCTCTGTCCGACAGGTGAGGGCCCCATAAAGATCCACCCCATACCTGCCATTCGACGCTTGGCACAAGTCTGTCGGTCGCTCTCATGGCGAAGACCACCACAAAGGCCACCAAACAAATCATCCACATCGCCTCTTCCTTCTCTGACAACAAACACAACCTCCTCGGTCCTTAAACACTAGACAGGAACAGATTGCCAAGCATCATCATCAATCGTTCATTCATGAGCATTATCGGCCAATCAGCCATGAACAATTGTCCGTCGAAGTTTCGAAGAAGGTTCGTTCACGTAAATCAACGTTGTCCGCTCGCATCGCAATGCAGAAAGCAACAAACTGCCACATGCAACTGTCAACCGGAACAGCTTCCATGCTCGACGCTCCTCAATACCCTCGGCAGCTTGTTCAGGCCCCCATTGCGCCCCCTGCCCCCCGTCTCCCGACCTACATTTTACGGAGCCGTTTCCTAAAGACATGGCAAACCCTAATTTGACCCAAGGCAAACCCTAATAGAAAAAACCTTTTGACCCTACGAGTTCGTATAGCCGAGTATATTTTTTACACCTCCAAACGCGACCGCCTTCGGTTCACGGGGGCGGTCGCTCTTACACGAAAGACGGCCGGCTGGCAGGGGGACAAGAAGGGCTGCAAGCGGCCGCTGACCGTAGCGAGCTATGCGAGCTAATTAGATGTTGGTGTGTTCACTTTGTGGTGGTGTTTAGGGTAAGATTGTCCGTGTGTCCATGCGCTGGGACGGTCGATTACATGTTCGCATCTAAACTATTGACAGCAACGATCAAAGCATTCGCTACCTACTCAGGCTCGCCCACCCACCCACCCCCTGCAATCAACGAGGGTGGAAAGGCCCCCGCTCTAGCAACAGCCCCTCGGCAAAACCCGCCCTCTCCTGCCCATTCCACCTGCTTCCCCGCCACGCCCTGCTCCGCACCATGTGTGCGTTGGACCTGGACCTATTTAGCAGTCGATGAAGCTCGTTTAGTTGGCTACGCAAGAATGAAACTCGGTCCGCTGGCTAAGCAGCCTTATTCATTGGTTGGTCAATTGGATGGCGAAGTTCAAGCTCTATTGCCCCTGACGACACCCTGGCGAACCATTATTGTCGCAAGGAGCCCGGGAGAACTATTGGAACGCAACTACTTAATCCTGAACCTGAATGACCCTTGCGCGCTGTCCGACACGTCCTGGATTCGGCCCGGTAAAGTGCATCGTGAGATAACTCTAGCAACAGCAGGAGAAAGGCATGCGTCGATTTCGCCGCCGCAAACGGACTGCAACATGCAGGCAACATGTCGAGTTTGATGCGGGCTGGTATGGAAACGAGGATTCTCTTAAGTCCCCTGCCACAACCGTATCAGTCGATCCGAAACGGTCTTTGGGTCCGCTCGATCTCCTCGAGGTCATTGAATACGCCCAGCAGCGAGGGATCGGAATCATTCTCTACGTCAATCGACGAGCCCTAGAGCGGCAACTCGACGAGATACTTCCGCTCTTTGAGAATCTCAATGGGGTGTCATTGGAGTGAAATATGGATTTGTTCAAGTTGGCTCGCAACGATGGACAAGCTGGTTGCACAAAGCGGTTCGCCAAGCAGCTGAACACCGCCTGATGGTCGACGTGCATGATGAATATCGTCCAACCGGCTACAGCCGCACTTATCCCAACCTGATGACGCAAGTGGGAATTGGGGGCGACGAAAGCAGCCCCACAAACAAACAAAACGCTGACTATCCTTTTTACTCGCATGTTGGCCGGAGCTGGGGACAACACGATCTGTTATCTTACCTCGTGTGGCCAGTTTCTTCATGTGTGCAAACTTCATAAGCACCAGGATGACCCGCGTGAGCTTTCACCTTGGTGACGAATACGTCAGGATCCGACCGTGTCTCACCTTTGTATACTGACTTTCACACTGTATGGCGAGCACTAAATTATGACTATATACTGAAGATTATAGACGAAGAGAATGTTGACGAATACCTCGCTTTGCGGTTTTGAAAGTAAACCAAAAAACGGCTTGGGAACTCAGCCATCAGTGCGTCATGTAATTGTAATGCATCGGTCCCTTTGAGGGAGTGATACGAGCCTCACTGGGGCGCAAAGTCCGGCTCCAGACGAGACGCCAGCTATCGGCCACCTATCGGCCGTCTTCGAGCCCCTTCACGCCCTGCCCTGCTGGCGCACACACATTGAGACCGGTCTCGTCCAATCCGTCGGTCACTGATCCAACTTCGGACACCTTATGTTGTGAACTATCAATCGCGTGTCTGCTCCTGATTGTGGCTGTTGGTGTGAAAACAAGACCCCCTGACGCTTTTCTGCATACAGCTGAAGTTGAGAAGGATTATTAGTTGCCTCAAGTCAACGCTTCGGACCAGGTATCATGTCAATGCCTACGACGGTGCTGACAAGCCTGCACGCTGTGTCACGTCATAGTTTAGTCAGCACGTCTCACTTCACACGACGCCCAGACACATACGCCAGTCATGTAAGTGCAGTAATGAGTTGAGTGAGGCGACTACCTGTTCCATCGCATGATCAGTGACCATTCTTCCATACTGCTCACTGTGGACGGCTGGCCGTCCTGGAAGGTCTGCCCTCGGTCTTCCTGAAAATACCGAGGGTCGGCATTGCCAAACAAAACAGGAAACCTGCGACAATGCCGAGACACCAGAAAGAAGAAGACGTCTTTTCTGCAATTGATGAGCGATCTTCACTACACCTGTGAGGGTTGCACTTGACGAACCATGGCAGTTCTCTCCGTTTTAATTTATCATACTTCTCACCCAGCTGATTGAGACATACAGCGGTCGGGGGCTCTACATTATGGCACAATGGCATACTCACCTCATGTTTTCGCTCATATCGTCCTTTGTTAAGAAACTGTCGCGAATACCCCTCTGTGTACAGTCTCCTCTGCGCCCACACCAGTCGAGCCGCCATCTCATTGAACAGCGCTCGAGGCGGCTTCCATGACGGGCTTCTAGCTGTAGCCAAATTGGCAAGGCGAAGAGCCTCCAAGTCACGCAGGCCAGTGTCTGACATGATGCTTCTGATGAGCTATTGGGAGACATTCATGTGTCTGCTCACCTGAAAGCGGTTTGTTGAGATTGGCTTGCAAGTCGGACGGGAGCTCATCAGGCGGATCTCCAAAGAGAGCATCGGCCATGCACGACTCGCTGCGCAAGATGCGACCCCTGCTGTCACCATAAGACGAATCTGAGATCGAACACAGCGCATACGTGAGAATGGTTGGCATTATCGCCCATACATTTGACGAAAAGGAACGGGATGAAGTTGTAGTCTGTAATGTGCCAGCTGCAATGGAAAGAAAGGGGCTATAGTCAAGCATCTGAACGGTACGTCTTCATACCCTCCGTAGAGCTTCGGCTGCACTTGTCGGCGGTAGAAGTACATTCGGCGGCTCCTGACCATCTCAAAAGGCTGCAAGAGAGAACACTCGACCGGAACTGGAATGTCTCAGTACCGTTCCTACCACTAGCATGCCTCGAGGGGCTGACGCATGTGGAAGACGGGAGATGAGAGGCCGCATATCCATCATTTTGGTGAAGACGATGTTAAAGTTGCCTGCCCAGCTGATGAGAACAAGTGCAGCATCCTGAAGAGGTTTGGTCAGCTCACAGTGCTTGACCAGCTTCATCACTTCCCCGGCAGGAATCTTCCAGAGGGCACAAAGAGACATGGTCAATGACCGTCAACTGTGTCTGTCATGGCACCTCATCTGGATCGCTCATGAAGACTAGGTCTTCGGGGAGGCTGACATACTTGTGATCCATTTCCTCGTTGAGCTGCAGAAACCTCTTCACGATCTCGTTACGGGCCCACATCTGTGGTTCCCAGCAGTCCTGGCCGTCTTCTTGACAAGCCTTGCTGTTCTCATATTTTCTGCGCATCACTGATTCCGGCAGCTCTATTGAGATGATTCGATCTCGCAAGTCACCAAACCTGATAACAGCCATCCAATCACCCATCGATGACGTGCCATCTATCGTCTGTTTGACCATTCAGGGTCTTGCAGCGCCCGGGTCATCAAGAGAGGCTTCGAACGCCCTGTGGAAGTCATCCGACTTTCGCCAACGACAAACCAGTCGACTGCGTGGCGCAACTCGTTGAAGCGCACCTCCGCCGTATCTGAGTGTGAACAGTAGAATCGGATCCATTCGCCCACACACAGACAGAATCTCACCCAGGTCAAAGCCAAAGTAAAACATATCGACCATTTTCCGCGGTCTGTCCAATCGTTTGCCCGACAGGAGCCCGGTGTGCCTGTCATTTGCTGTGCAGTCATCGTCGCGTAGTTCAGTGTAGCTCGATGGAGCCGCACACGTGACGTTGATGGGCACGGCAGGGGCGGACAAAACGTACGTGGACAAAGCGTCGATAACTCTTTGTCGCATTTCTGCAGACAAACAGTGTAGTTTCCATTTGACGACACACGGCACAGGCCTTTTGCAATCTTACGTCTCGGTGCGTTGGGCTGGCTGGGATGCTTGGGGACGTCACCGAAGTCGAAGGCCATAAGGGCGCCAACTAGTGAAGGGACGAAAAAAGCAGATGCTGCACTTGTTGGCGACGTTTCATCAGTGGCAAGGGACCTAAAAGACACGATTGGCGTTTGCGTGCGGAGAAGGGACAGGAGAGAAGTGTTAGCAAGGAGCAGTAAGACTGCCATAATCGTCAGGAAAGCAGTCATGGTAAGGACACGGGGGGATGAGGAAAGCCTCGGGATTGCCATCTGAGAATCGGTGGCCGTCCGTGTAACTCACGAGTGAATGTATGAAGAAGGGGTGAAAGAAAAGTGTTAGCAAGGAGGAGTAAGAGAGCCAGGAGAGTGAAGGAAGCAGTGAGAATAAGTAAGCGAGGGACTCCAGAGAATGCAGTTGAAGCCGCCATAACAATTCAGGAACCGAATGACGTGTGGTACACAGCCGGGTACAGTTAGCAAGAAGGAGTAAGACTGCCAGAGTCGTTGGGAAAGCAGTCACGAAAATTAAACGGGGAGCGTTGGTGCAGAGAATTTGGGCGTCAAAAAACTGTTGCCCTTCCTTGATACGAAGTGATGCTTACACGAACTTCGTCACCCATTCTACTTAAGCGGCCGAGGAGAGTGATAAGTTGGCGATCACGAGATACAACAATATGCACAATATGCACAACTTGTCTGTTCGCATTCTGGCTGAGGCAGATGTTCCTTCAAATGTGAAGGTGTCTCTGCACAGCCTCGGCATCACCCCAGCCGACGACAACCCCAACAACCAGCGGATGGACATCCACGGCGTGATCGACGGCATTGACTACTTGCTCGGTGTCTCACCATCGCCCACCTGCCGCCCTGACAACTCCCCCATCCCCTTCCACCGGACACTCAATCGGCGGAGTGCACAACTCCCGGGTGGCAAGACGGTGCAGCTTGGAGAGAAAGACAAGATCGAGAAGTAAGCATGAGGTGAATTCATGCTTTCTGGCATGTACTCGCGCGTGCAAGGCCCCACTTTGCCTGTCTTCCCCTCTCCCCAGCACAACGAGTCTTCAGACGGCTTTCCAACTGCGATTTGCACCAACGTGCGACTGCCATATTGTCTCCTACCTATGAACATTGATCCATTGAAGCTTGTTTTTTGAAGCCCCCTCCCTCATTCAAGGGGGAGGGGGCGACATTGCATGGTCCGCAAAGACATCTGACTTCACACGATGTGCATTGACTGCAATCACCCATCAAAAACAGTCGATTCTCGGTTTCTGGACCAGTCCTACCGCTAATGACTGAGTCCTCTTCATCCGCTCCCCGAAATACAGTCAAATCGTTGTGGCTCTTGCATCCTCCCTTTCACGAGCTACCCTAAAGCTCAGCCCGTAATTCGCTTTCTTGGCAAACGGACTTCTTCTCAGCGTGAAACGGACTTCTGTGCTATGTGAACTCATCGGATGCCTCAGATGACTCAGCTGACCATCCTGTGAGTCACCAATGGGCCTTTGCTGCCTTTCAAGCGCGAAGCCACTGCTCTTCCGTTCATGTCATCGTGGCTCAAGCTCGGTCACGCACTGCCAGGTCGCTTTTTCGTCGCAAAATCGAGAATGCTTCATCTCAGAAGATGACAATCAAAATGTCTGTCTTTCTCCGTGGAGTCACTCTTTCATTTTTCCGCTCTTTCACAGAGGGGTGCTTCATGTGTTTTGCGGTCATTTTGAGCCATGAAATGGTCGCTTTGGATGGCTGATGAGTGAGTGATTGGTTTATGCGGTTCATTTTGCTCGTGAATGGAGTGATCGGGATGGGCTGATTCTTGACAGAACAT